ATCCTACATTTAACAGTAATCTTTGCTATGAGATGTCATGAAATTTTGTATGAAAATGTGCTTGTGTGATTACAGGTGCTGTGTGGAAAAGTCAACACTGATACTTGTTACTTATTTCAATGTTTTTGTCGCACTCTTGTCCTAAGGTTATCATAGTCAGCCGGATCCGGTCCGTATCCAGATCAGATGATGGACCTGCACCCTGAGACGACCACAACGCAGCCCTGAATGTCAGTGAAGATTACGACAAGTGAACATCACGACTGAACTAACATCAGCACAGATCCTCAGCAAAGACCACAAGAAACAGACAAGTCCTCTGCACAGACTCCTATGGCCAGCAATGAACGTGTCAGGCCAGGAGCTGCTAGGACCACAATGCAGTTTTATCCTGCTTATGGTCACTGTTAATCCAGTCGTCCACTACTGGCTAAACGACAGCCCTGCTGGACAGACTACAATTTCTCCTCTGATCAAATGACAGCATGACGTATCCTGATCTTCAAGCAGTAGGAGCTGGATGAAATATTCTGAATTACATCAGTCCACAATCTCACTAGTGAAGCAGCCTGAAATCATAATCACATCATCTTTGTTCATTTAACCAGAGGAGAGCTGAGCTGACTGCTCCTGGTTTCTCCCAAGCTGTTTTTTCTTCGTTTCAGTCACCTGCTGGAGTTTGGGTTCCACTGTCACCTCTGGCTGGCTGAATTGAACTAATTCATTCGTAAATATTAACTTTACAAAGTTATTGATCTGAATTGTCTTTCTAGAGGTAAAGTTTTTTATTAAATAAAACACTGTTTTTGTACAATTTGTGGTTGCATTTTATTTTTTATTTTTCTTCATGTAATTACCTACTTTTTATAGAGTGTTTCATTATTACTGGCCAAGGAAAGTTGATTTTTTTCAAGTTTTGAATGATTTTATGGTTTATTAATATTAATAAAGGGAGACATATTACACTTTTATAGAGCAGTCTAGTCTATATAATGTTTTTTGGCTCTATTTTAGGTATTTCCATAACTAGTTTTGGCCAGATTACCCATTTTAAATAAGGTATAGACCCACTAAATGAACGGGTCCATATCGGATCCGGTCCGGATGAGTTACTTAATCAGCGGGTCCTGATCGGATCCGGTTCGGATAGTTTTCTTTATCAACGGGTCCGGATCGGATCCGGGCCGGATGAACCGCTTTATTAGCGGATCGGATCCGTAATCCTTATCTGTTCCGGATCCGTTGCGCTGTGCAAGTGGACTCCGATACGGACCCGTTTTGCGGATCCGTTCCGGAGCTTATGGTGACTCCGGGGCGGATCTGCTCCGGAGTCATTTTGCTATCTGGGTTGGTAATCTGGCCCCTTGGTATAAAGGAGAAAAAATGCTGGCCCTAGTCACTATCAAAGTTGCCCATCCCTGCGTTATATACGTGCGCTGTCCTTTAAAGGTGCACTAAACTAGAGCAACGATTACTTCGGTATATTGAGTTACAGAAGGCTATTGTTTGCAGTGCAACTGTTATCGCACGTAGGCCTGTTCAGATTGGATGGAGCTCTGAATCCGTTACCGTACAGGCAGCTCCTCCCTCCGCCTGTCAGTCCTATCTGCTCTCCCTCTCATCATGGCTCCGGCCGCGGACAGGCCGGGCTACTGGGGAACACCGACCTCAACTCTCGACTGGTGCGAGGAGAATTATGTGGTCTCGTATTACATCGCAGAATTCTGTAAGTACGTTTGAACGGCGGGCTTGTGTTCAGTACACGCGGTCCATTGTCGTGTAGGACGGTAAACACGGATGTTAAAACAGAGAGAGGAGCATTGTCGAACCGTACTATGAGAAGACGTGATATGTAATATTCATGAGGGAGTCATCCGCTATTGGACGACTACGAGGCGTGGTCAGCATAGCCTAATTAATATTGATTAGGCAGGTCTTCTCCATTGGAAGGGTTCGAAGCAACGTCAAAACAACGTAATTAATATTAAAAAGCCACGCCTTGTTCATAGCAAAGTTCCAAAGCAACGTCAGCGTAACCTAATTAAAATTCATATAGCCATAGTAGGATTCGTAACTTGGCAGCCGAGGCCAGCGACCCTCTGTCCGCGCTGCACTTGTATCATAAAGCTTAATAACAAATAAGAAATCCAAACAAATGACCGGAAAGAGAATGAATGAAACCCAGTGTGTGGCAATATTTGGGGAGGAGCTCGTGCCGCCGATACAGATTCTCAGTGAAATCACAAGAGTGTGACCACGTAGATGTTTTCTTATGTTAATCGTTCTTTAATTTGCTTTAATTATAAACTGACTATGAATATATGGTCTAAAAATGTGAGCAGTGACTCGAATCAGAGCTGCTAATGAAGCTAAGTCAGTTGAACGTGTTGAGTGTAACCAGCAACATAACTCACTCGTACTGTAAATATGCATGCCAGATTTAGTGAAGCTGTATACTTGATAATTCTACTCATACCTACTATAATGCTACAGTAATTGCGTGGAGTTTCGTTGGTCTCTGCTGACCAGCTGAAGATGGTTTGCAGGTCTTGGCTGGTACAGTTGGTCTGATCAACCGGAAAGTAGTTGATGAATAATAATAATGTAAAGCTACATTCTAAGTAAAAACTGAAAAATGCAACAATTGTCTAAAATTCAGCTGAATAATTCAATTACAGTCCTAATATTCAAGAAAAAAAAACTGATATGTGAGATCCCAAATATAAATAAAAAAAATTGTGATGTGAACAAAGTAATTTTAACAAATATATATCTAACAAAAATAATGAGGAATATTTTGTCATGGCCAGTATGAAATATTTATAGGCAGCATTTGTTTCCATTTTCTTTTGTTGGTTTGTTTCTTTCAGACATACTTATTAACTAAGCAACAATTAAAAAATGTTCATTACCATTAATATAATTAGAATGAGAAATCATATAATGAAGGATAGAAAGGAAAACTGCATTAAACACTAAGATGGTTTTCTGATCTAGTTGGTCCTCTCGCCTGATCAGTCAAAAAGTACCCAAAGCCACTGTACCGTGAATGTATGGTACAGTATGCATTAAAGTACCATCAGTATATTTTTGTAATAATAATATAATATCTAAACAGTTTAATTACATTACTTTCACAATACAGATTTGAACTGAGAGAAGTAGATTGCCATACTGGGAACTTTAGTTTGACTGCTGATATATGACAGTATGGAAGGACACCGTGTACTTAGCCATTACATCTCCATATTGTTTGCTAAAGTAGATTTCAGGTCACTCTGATAAGTTGGTCAAAGGGCACAAAGTGATAGTTAACATCTGTGAACATTAATACTAATAGAGCTTGAATTCCAGCTGTAATTTCCTACAGGGTTTTAGGATAGCGGTGTTTGATTTAAGAATGAAATAGTCTGATTATTTGAGCTTCATTTTAAAACATAAATTACACAGTCATATTTCAAACATAAGTTTAATCGCTGCTAGAACCAACAGGAATTTCAGTGTCATCGAGATCAGAGGGGCCTTTGCTGTCCAGCGGGAACCTTTTGCCTTGTGAAGGAATGTGCCATGTTCAGTATGACGAGCCGTATATCCAAACAGTGAAACAATAGGCCTGTACACACCGTGTTAGGGCTTTCTAGCATAGGTTTAGTTTTCTTGGACTCAGCAAAGAGGCACGATAGCAGTCTGACAGCTGCTGGTGGTGCTAAGAAGCCAGTTTGGATGAAGTTCACTCATCTATTGTTCATATCCATTCAAGTGGAAGTTCATGGCAGTTTTTACTGTTATCGTTCATAGAATAACTCATAAATATGACTTATATAGGAATAGTTCACCCAAAAATGTAAGTTTGCTAGAAATGTATTCAGCCTCAGGTCGTCCAAGATGTAGACGAGTTTGTTTCTTCAGATTTGGAGAAATTTAGCACTACATCAGTTGCTCACCAACGGATCCTCTCCAGTGAATGGGTGCTGTTTGGACTCTCATTCTGACGGCACCCATTCACTGCAGAGGATCCATTGGTGAGCGAGTGATGTAATGCTAATGTTCTCCAAATCTGAAGAAACAAACTCTACATCCAGGATGGTCTGAGGGTGAGTTCATTTTCATAAAATTTTTGGGTGAACTATTTCCTAATATTTAAATTCATTAAAATAAAAAACTTTGTTTTTTTGCTTTCTCCAGGGAATACTGTCAGTAACCTGATAATGATCCTACCCCCCATTTATGGAGCCATTCAGACGTGTAAAGACGGTTTGGAAGTACGCTATGTGTGGTCCTTTTTAGGACTTGCTGGTAACGTATCTTTCACGTGATTTTATATAAACACAAACCTCATTTTTTAGGAAGTGACCTTTCACCCAGTTATTCAAGACTGTATTTCCTAAACAAACAGAGATAAAATGTAACGTTTTTATGTTGTCTCTCTTTTCGCTACAGCCGTAGGTATTGGTTCATGGAGCTTCCACATGACACTACAGTATGAAATGCAGGTAAGCTGGACTTTTCTTCAGCCTTTCAAAATGTGCATCTTGTTGTTATTTTCACTTTCATTCTCATAGCCACAGAGCTGCTTCTCTAACGGTACATCCCCAAAGCAATAGCAGTAGTTAACAAGCCTCTGGATTGTCTTTTGTTTTTAGCTACTAGATGAGCTGCCGATGATCTACAGCTGCTGCGTATTTGTCTACTGTCTGTAAGTTGACATTTCTTACACCTGCAAAGTCACAATGTCTGCCTTGCCTTCAACTTTGACCTCTGAACACTCATCATAAGCTTAATGAGGATCAGATGCTGTATGGACAGAAAATTATTTTTTATCATTAAGATTTTGGATTTCTTTTGCCATTCAAAAGTTTGGGGTCGGTAAGATTTTTTTGAAGCAAGTCTATGATCTCCAAGGCTGCATTTATTTGATTATAAATACAGTAATATTGTGAAATATTTTTAGTTACAATTATTAGTTTATTTGATACAGATGTTTTTGTTTGTAAATTAGAAATGGCTTTACTGTCACCTTTGATCAATTTAATGCATCCTTGTTGAATAAAATCTTAATTTCTGTCCAAAAAAAAAAAATTAATGACCCCAAACTTTTGAAAGGTAGCACATGATTGTAGGCCAATTACTATGGATGTTTTTTTCTGAATCTGAATGCATATCTCACATATTACAGATATGAGTGCTTCAAGCAAGAGCGTGCCGTTAACTATTTGTCAATTACACTTTTGCTGACCTTCAGTATTATTGTTAGTGTGGTAAGTTTTTTTTTCTTTAATGTTCTAAATTTAAATATATATATATATACACACACAGTGGGGCGCAAATGTCAGAAATTTCTAAAAAAAAAATATTTAATAACCTTTTCATTTCAAATAAAATTATCAATATATTTTGCATTGAAATAAAAAAAAAAATAAATTTTAAATAAAACATTAATATTTCTTAATATGGCATTCATATTATCGAGCATTATTGAGGAATGTTATTTATTTTTTATTTGGATATCCATTAGCTTCCATAAAGTGGCCATGACACTTTGCTAAAAAATGCTCAAAGTAAAAATAACAATGGGAAAAAAGTGACCTAGAAATACTGCAAAATCTTAATAAATATTTCCTCTTTTTCATATTAAACTTTCATTGTTTTAATTTTGTAGAAATTCTACAACATTGCTTATTTAATTTTTTTTTTTTTTTTTATGAATAAAATCCCAGATTTTCAGTGCAGTCTCAGTCCCCACTCTTTATGTACTGTATATATTATTGATATTTTTAGGTATTTTTTCCTCCATGCTCAAGAAGTGCATTTCATTTATCTTTTGCAGGTTTACCTGATATGGAAGGAGCCTGTGTTTCATCAGGTGAGGCCTGACTAAACATTTAATGCTGCATTAAAAACCTCTCTATTTTGGTTTATCCTATGTTGTCAGGTGATTTTGAGAGCATGACAATGTTGTGTCAAAACAGCTTCTGCAGTCAGTATTTGTTGTCTGTTTCTATTGTTGAAAGGCATGACAGTAGGGTGTGACTCTGTTCATGCTCAGGGTGTTGAATGGTACATGACTGTCTATAAACGCAATGCTGTGATCTCTTTGTTTAATACGACCAGCACATCACTGTCATGTAAAGCGCAATTATATTGTATTATTGTTTATATAGCAGATGGTGCTAAATACACAGGTTAACAACAGTTTTATAATTTCCCCCAGGTCATGTATGCCGTACTAGTGGCTTTCTTGGTGATTCGCTCTGTTTTCATAGTCACTTGGTGAGTGAATGAATCTTTATCACTTCCAAATCTGTATTCACTGCATTTGAAGCTTGTTTTACTTTCTATGATGTGAGATATTTCCAAGTGAAACATTACATGCATTAATCTGTACGAAGGTAAATAAGTGCATTAACATCTTGTCTGTGCTTTGCAGGGTGTATCCATGGCTCAGAGCCCTCGGCTTTACATCATTAAGCATCTTCCTGTTGGGATTCGTATTATGGAACATCGATAATATCTTTTGTGACTCTCTAAGGTAGATCTACATTTGCATTACATTACGTTTATGCATTTAGTATCGTTTAAATCTTAGTAAACTAAGGTAACATTTTAGTTTACAAGAAAGTGCCAAATTAAATATGAAAATATTTTATATGTTAATTTTCAAAATCAACATTTAATGTTGTTAAATGTTTTTAAATAATGAAAATATGCATGAATGATATTTACACACACACATTTACATATTCCTAAATATTCGAATATTTTGTGTATTCATATTACTTAAATCACTTGTTCTGTGGTTGACCAAGCAAAATGAGAGCAGATGAAAAACAGAAGAGGTCATTGTTTGTCACTGTTTTTGGTTCAGAACCACACGGCAGCAGCTGCCCCCTGTTTTCGGAGCAGTTACGCAGCTTCATGCCTATCTAATGATTCAGATAAAAGTAAGAGGTCAACATTTTCTCTAAGAGTACAAACGAACTAACAACAGCAAAATTACCACTATCACTGCAGTTTAGTGCCTAAATCCACTAACTCGGTTGTTTAGATAATAGGCAATACATTTTTGGACCTTTTAATCACGCTTATGACTGAAATGGTGAGTTATAATAATGGAATATTGTGGCTAACCTTCCCAGGATTGTCCTGTAAAGCTGTGTAATGATTTATGTATGTTATGTGTGTTTTGTGATTGTTCTTTTCCTTTTTTTGGCACATTAAAATCCATGTTGCCAAAACATTAAACATGGTTTTAATTAAACTTGTTTGTCTGTATAAGCAAAACATTTTATATTCATATGTAACGTTCCTGAAAAGCATGAAAAGAAAAACTTTGAAATATAAAGTTATTTTTAACATATATTTAACATAACATTTTAGTAACATTTTAGCCTATGCTGTTATTAAACTAAAACCTAACTTAACCTAATCTTAAGCACTTCTCAATAATATACAGTGATATTATTTTTTAATTATAGGCTATTAAGCTATAGACGTTGTTTTAATAATTCAACAAATTGAATTAATGTACTTGATTAAACACGATAAAAGCATCCTTTTAATTTCACAAATTCTTTGTTAACACCTGTACATTTCTAAAGTTGTTAATACGTGAGAAGGCTGTCACATGAATAATATTCGTTCAGTGTTTATGCAAAAAATATGAAAATGTATGTGTGCTAGAACTACATTTTAAATAGGCTATGAGTTCCTACGATTAATGAGTTCAGGTTGGAATGGTAAAACACACCTGGCCACCGTAAAAACAATGGCTGTATCAGTGTTGTAACAGTATGGGGCGCCACCATAGTGAACTCTATCCTACACAGCTGTAAGACAGAGATTCAGTGAGTCATTTCCTGCCTTGGAAAATAAGCATGTATGAACCTCTGGAGCTCAGACGCTCAGGTAACAGTGTTGCCAACTTAGCAATTTTGTTGCTAAATTTAACAACTTTTCAGACTACCCTAGCAACTTTTTCTTCCAAAAGCACCTAGCAACAAATGTAGCTATTTTTTAAAATTTATTTGGCAGCTTTTAGCAACTTTTGATAAGTGACTCAAATGATAAAAAGGCACAATTTACCATTTAAATTACACAAAAAGAGGAAACCAAAGATGCCTAGCAGTACACACGTTACAGGAATTAAGTTCGCTGCTATTTGCAATTGTTTAATAGTAATAATAATAATAATTGAATACTGTTATTTTTCATTTATGAGACACTTTGTTAGTAGCTTGTACCTGCGATTGTTGATGAGTTAGTATAAGAAATATATGCAGAAAAATGGAAAAGGTGCTAGTAACTTTCCAGGACATTATCCGTTATCCGTTGTAACCCGAAAACACAAAATACAATGCGTAATTAAAAATGCAGGTACAAAAACCTGTAGAATAAATCCAGAAAATTCCTTTATATTAACACAGTAGATTGTGCATTATTTTTTACTTTTCTTAGAGTGCAGCATACTAACTAACTACTAATAAACTGCTTTAAAGTATAAAACTTAAGTTGTAATCGTTCAAAAATGTGTAAGTTTTCGATAATTCAATGAATTTAAAAATAGTTATTTATATTTTAATATTATATTATGCAATTATATTGCTACGAACAAATCTAAATTTACATATATAAAATATATATGTTTTTGCTGAGATTTGACACAATTTTGCATCGTGATTACGTAATAACGTCATCACGCAATGTCATCACAACGTAATTTAGCAACTTTTAGAAACAGATCAACCTTCCTTTAGCAACTTCCCCTGAAAATTAGTTGGCAACACTGTCAGGTAAACTGAGGAATTCTACATGACGTCAGAGATTTCAGGTGAACACTTGTTTTCAGTTGCTTACATGCAGTGTTGCCAATTTAGCTACTTTGTAGCTAGATTTAGCGACTTCCCCGCCCCTTTTGTGACTTTTTTCAAAAGTTTAGGGACAAATATAACAACTTCTTGGACAAACCTTATCTAAGTTCTCATCTTGCCCACGGATCTACGTTCATCTTTATATAGATCAGTGAATTTTCCATTGTGATGTCATCTAGTGACATTTAGCTACCAGTTTTAGCTACTTTCAATTGAAAGCAGTTGCATCATATTTGTCAACAGTGTAATGAATCAGCTCATGAGGAAATATGAATAATTAACCATAACTAGTTATAATTAATTATTCATATTTTAGATCCGCTGTAGATATTTAGCTGACCTCTCAGGGTCAACTGTCTTGTCAATTCTAAGAACGTTAGTTTCCTGGTTAAGAAAAATAACTTCCTTACTGTACAATTCTACAAAAGCTTGTAGACAAAAGCTTAATCTGCATGATTAAGTGACTCCAGTTATAAGCAAACAATGAACCATGTCAAGTGTGAAACAAGTAAGGTAGTAAGGTTTACGTAAACACTTAAACTAGTCTAAC